TATAAGATACTGGTTCATGTATTCGCTTTATAACAACATATAAGATACTGGTTCATGTATTCGCTTTATAACAACATATAAGATACTGGTTCATGTATTCGCTTTATAACAACATATAAGATTGCTGAAATGTTGGCTTACTATTCCACAGTTGTGTGGGTCTCTCTGTATCACACTTATGATCTAAAATACAAAAATTGCCTCAAATAAGGTTTTAAAATGTCTCAAATTCTAAAAAAAATTTAAAACTTTTTGTTTATTCTTGTTTATTCTATAACATTGAAGATTTATGTTGTTAATATTTGTATGTGCATTTAATTCTGAGAATTCACAAAAACTGAAAATCATAATTCTCAATTTAACTCAAAATAATGTTTTGCATTTTAATATTCAGATACTAAAAATAACAAATAAAATTTGCTTTCAACAAGAAAAACTAAATTTTAAAGCCAAAGAAATGCAAACTTATTTTTAACATTTTTATTTCAAAATAATAATAGTTTAAGTTAAAATTGATAAAGATATAGACATAAAACTACAAACTATTATAAAGTAATTATTAGAAAAAATGGTCGGTGATTTGACATTAAAGGTAATATATATAGTTTTAAAGACTGATCAAATAAAAAGATTAATATTTTATGTTATTTATTTACTTAAAGGGACTGAATACGTAATGTCAAGTGAGCCTCCAGTTATGGAGGGCCACCAAGTACTATTTACAACTGTACCTTTACACCGTCAATCTGAGAAAAAACAATTGTCGTTTTTTTTTCTTTAAACGTATTAAGTTTCAACCATTTCTATTGTTGTCTCTGCAGCATACATCCGTAATTCAGATAAAGGTTATACACTGCAAACCAAGATGTGAACGTTTTCACGCAAAAATAGAGCAGTATTTTGCCAATTACTCCTTTAAACTAGAAACAAGATGTAGATGCCTACTGCCCAGGACTATAAAAAAGTATAAGTATAAGCTTGTGAGGTAAAAACAAAGGACAAGGCGTTGCGACACTTTAAAGTCGAGGTTGATAAACATTTAATGACTTTCAGAGTTGTCTATATCTCAGTGAGTTAATCGGTATCGTTGTGAATTGGCCTTTTTAATACTGAAGGGTCACATGAATTTAATACGTGTGCGTGCACACCCTTTAATTAAACTATAAAATTAAAACTAAGAAATTTATAGAAATTTGTAAAAAAGAAAAAAAACACCTATATGTTCTGTTCAGAGAGGATCAATTTTATTCCAGAGTTCACCTTTCGTTCATATTCTCATTAAGGATAAAAGGTAAATGAATTTTTTTTATAAGAAATAGGGATTCAAAAATGTAGACACAAACCCGACAAACAAACTTATTTTGCATTTGTTTTCGCGTACAATCATAGATAATTAAGATGTGTGAATATATAGTTCTAAAACCAACGCCGAGACATCTCTTATCTTATTTTTTTTATTTAGATTTTTATTTAAATTTATGCTAAAGCGTGTAAACAGGGTGGCAAATGGGATGTGCATTGTGCAACCCCCTCTCCTCATTCTTTTTGTCGAATATTGTGTTTCCTTTAAAACCCTTAATATCTATTCAATTCCTTGC